GGATCATGACCTGAGCCGAAGGCAGACGCTTAACGACTGAGCCACCCAGGCGCCCCTTAACATTATTATTAAACATTAAAACATAAAGTTAGGGGGCGCCTGGGTGGCTCAGTTGTTACGCATCTGCCTTCGTTCAGCTCAGGCATGATCCCGGGGTCCTGAGATTGAGCCCCATGTCGGGCTCCCTGCCCAGCGGGGAGCCTGTTTCTCCCTCTGCCTGCCACTACCCCCTGCTTATGCGCTCTCTCTCTGACAAGTAAATAAATAAAATCTTAAAAAAACAAAACAAAACTCATAAAGTTAGTAGTTATTTCTTGTTGAATTAAAATGGAATGGTATTGGCACGCCTGGGTGGCTCAATCAGCTAGTCAGCTAGCTCTTGATCTCTGTTTAGGTCTTGATCTCAGGGTCATGAGTTCAGGCCCTGTGTTGGACTCTACGCTGGGTATGGAGCCTACTTAAAAAGAAAGTGGCATTTGATGCCACATATATCTTCATTTTTTTTCTCAAAAAACTAAAAGGTATTCATGTATTATAGTAAAGAATATACTACATTGTTTCAGAAAGGATTGCAAGTGCTTAGGTAAGATTTATGTGACCTTGGCAGACCATTTATCTCATATGGATTATTTTCCATACTTAGAGCTATAAAAGTAATTCTAAAAGGCTATTTCTACCCTGTTCCTTACATTGACTGAGCTGTAATTTGATTTGATCCACTGGTACACCTCAAGCATAGCCATAGGCTTATCTTTGTTTTAGTATGTATCAAGCCTATGAATACTCAGTATAAGTGCTAGCAATTTAGATGATTGCTGGTCATTTTTCTTAGCTTTTAAAGATGGGAAAGTCTCTCTTGTTCTTTTTGTGTTTGATTCCCAGAGTGAAAATGCTCGTCTGGCACTCTGTGAACATCCTCAGTGGACGCCGGTTGTGGTGATTCTGGGACTCCTGCAATGCAGTATCCCCCCTGTTCTCAAAGCAGAGTTGCTGAAGACCCTTGCAGCTTTTGGAAAATCCCCTGAAATTGCTGCTTCCCTTTGGCAGTCGTTGGAATACACTCAGGTAGCATTACAAGCTCTCTTATTTATTACAGTTTGGAAAGTGAGGCTTGATAATATGGTAGAAGCAAGGGCATCCAGTTTGCAACTTACAGTATGCCATGAACTTCCCAGTTAATGATTTAGTACCGAGCCAGTGGTTTAGAACCGAGCCATAGCATCAGAAACTAACAGGCTTAGGTTTTTCTCTTAGATCAATTGACAGCTTCACTAGGTTACCAGGGATAGGTTCTTTTCTCAAGACTTTGTTTTTCAGTGTCTGTGAGATATTTATAAATGGACAGAATTCTTCAACTCTGTCTTTAAGACCAGGCTGATGAAAGCCTTCAGACATTATTTGTACTCATTAAATGTGGGGAATACCAGTTTTTCTTTTCTGTTGCTTCCTTTTATGTCCTCCTGTCCCATCTGAAAAGAACAAAGTATCTCTATTAACTTTTATTTTTTTAGATGTAAGGCCTATTGGAATTTTTCTGTGAAGGTATAGTTATTCAGTATATACACTAAGATTAAAAAGGAGAATAAGGTTGTGCTTTACAGAAATATCTCTAGGAAAATGGTTAGGTGGAATATGTGTTTGTCTAAAAATAATAAAACGTATAGGAACCTGTGATTCTAACACCATTTTGAAGCAGTAAAATGTAATTTTCTAATGTGTGTCCTGAAGATGTAATGATACTTTATAAGAGCAAAATGCAGGGAGCTGGTGTGTGCAGGGAGCTGGTGTGTGCCCTTAGGTTTAGTATTAATACTTCATTTTTTTCACTTATGAGTGTATCACCACTTAGTGTTCTAAGTGTTAAGTGTGCTCCTCTATAGTGAAAATGAAATATGATTGGGTTTAGACATTTTTATTCTTAGAGCAAGACTTGTTTTTAAAGGATCCTACCTGATAGTATATTTTCAGCTTGTAAGAGTGGTAATAACATAACATTAAGTGTAGTTGATTATACTGTATACTGCTTATGTCCCTAGCAAGGTCAGATCAGAACATCTTAACTCAGAACTTTTGCCCACACAAGAAACCTATTCAGACCTGTTCTTAACAAATTTAATTATTGGTTTTCTGGTGCTGATTGTAGGGCTGGTCTTGAACACTGGTGAGATTTCGTCCCATAAATCCTCTTAAGATTTATTCCTAGAATATCTCAGAGGAAATTTGCTGCATATACTTCTTGTGTGCACTTAGAAACTACTAGTTTTTTGAAGCCCAGATAATCGAAGGTTCTACCTGAATCCCACACAACTGCCAATGAAAGTCCCATCAGACACTTCTCAGTTGTGCTTTCTGATCAGCATCAGAAGATACATGTATGTGTTGCGTGAGGAATATGACTATTACATTGCAGAGCCACTACTTTTCATTGAGGAGTGGGGGATGTTCCTAACATCTGTTTTCTTACTATTTTAAGATACTGCAGACCGTAAGGGTTCCAAGCCAGAGGCAAGCTATTGGTATCGAGGTAAAGTTTTCCTTTTTCTTTAAATGCTCTCTATTCATACAGTCACATGGTGAAAATTAACAAAAATTGTTCTTAACCCTGTTAGGTTCCTATAATTTTCAAATTTAATATAATTTCATTTGAAGTGTTGTCTGGTCAGTGTTGAAATGGAGATGAAATTTTTCGTGAGAGGAACCAAAATACTCTAGGTTTCAAAGTTGGGTAAGGATGTTACATGGCAGCCATCCAAGCTGAAAGTTTGCTTTAAATTCAATTTAATTAGGTTACTTGGGTCAACCTGAAGTGAGAATTTACTTGTTTTAGTTTCTTTTCTTCTCTCTCTACGCTCCCCCTCTCTTTTTCATAAAGAAACATGTAAGATTTCTATTTTTAATTCACAGTTGGGAACAATATGTGGGAATTTGAAATTCTTCCATCTGATTGATCTAGATTTATATACTACTTTTGTGTCTTTTCCTCTAAATGAAAAATGGTGATGTATATTAGGTTTCTTTTGGTGTGGTGATGATATGTTCAGTATTAATGAGTCAATGTCTGCAAGATGTTTTGTACTTTATAGCTGATTGTTTTTTTTTTTCAATTTTTTTTTTATTCTTATGTTAATCCCCATACATTACATCATTAGTTCTAGATGAAGTGTTCCATGATTCATTGTTCGTGCACAACACCCAGTGCTCCATGCAGAACGTGCCCTCCTCAATACCCACCACCAGGCCAACCCATCCTCCCACCCCCCTCCCCTCTAGAACCCTCAGTTTGTTTTTCAGAGTCCATCTTCTCTCATGGTTCGTCCACCCCTCCGATTTCCCCCGCTTCATTCCTCCCCTCCCGCTACCTTCTTCTTCTTCTTTTTTTTTCTTAACATATCTTGCATTATTTGTCTCAGAGGTACAGATCTGAGACTCAACAGTCCTGCACAATTCACAGCGCTTAACAGAGCACGTACCCTCCCCAGTGTCTATCACCCAGTCACCCCATCCCTCCCACCCCACCCCCCACTCCAACAACACTCAGTTTGTTTCCTGCAATTAAGAATTCCTCATATCAATGAGATCATATGATACATGTCTTTCTCTGTTTGACTTATTTCACTCAACATAATACCCTCCAGTTCCATCCACGTCGTTGCAAATGGCAAGATCTCATTCCTTTTGATGGCTGCATAATATAGCTGATTGTTTTATATTACTAAATGTCTTTATTTTTCTTTGGTAGGTTGAACTAAATGAAATAGAATCCCGGTGTGAAGAATACCCACTGACTCGGGCTTTTTGCCAGCTTATTAGTACTTTGGTGGAGAGCTCATTTCCTTCTAATTTGGGTGCTGGCCTGCGGCCCCCTGGCTTTGACCCTTATTTGCAGTTCCTTAGAGATTCTGTGTTTCTCCGATTCCGCACAAGAGCTTACCGGAGAGCAGCTGAAAAGGTAATGTTCAGAGAAAACCTTTTTTGTCCTTATTCATTTATTGCTGCTTTTTCCTTTATGAAAGATTTAAGATGCTATAAATTCATTTTAGCTTTTGCCAATCAGTAAAATTCATAGTCTTAATACTGAGGTGTCCATGATCTGATTAAGTTTATATATATTAAAAAAAAAAATCTCGGCATTAAAACCAAAGCACGGACTTTTTAGTGATCAGTAGTTTAATTGATATGAACTCATAGTCATTCAGATCCTTAATTGAACAAATTTGGACCAAAATTGAACCAAAAATGTCATACCTTTGTCAGTTGGAAACACATTGTCCTTTTTTGGGATGATTTTGTTTAGGGATTGAAATAAGTTTTAAACTTGCACACCAATTTCTATTGATTTAGTAGCTCTTTTGGGTTGTAGAGTCTCGACTTAGTGGGAAGGTGTATTATGATCCGTCAGGTATGTTTGCCACGAATGGAGCCTGAGGGAGCACTGACATTTCATACATATTTGCTCTGGTTGCAACACACTCAGAACTGAACTTACCATATATATCATCTTATGTAATTCCAATATTACCGTGAGGCAGGTACTATTAATACTCCCATTTTACAGATGGAGGCTTAGCAAGGTTAAGGAACTTGCCTAAGGTCCAGGACCAGGATTTGAACCTAGGACTCTGATTCCAGATTCAAGCTCATAACCCCTAAGCTATGTAGGAGACCCTTCCAGGTTCTGACGTAATTCACTTAGTCTATAATACTGTTTATTGCCTCACAGAATATGCTTGGATGTGTCCTGTAGGGACATTTCTGCTTTATTTTTATAATTTGCTGTTTTTGAACCTGTTGGGTTTATTTGTTGTTGTATTAGTGATTATAAAAATAATTTTTGTGCTAATTTGGGACAATTAGGAAAATATAGAAAAATATAAGAAGTAATGATATTATCCATAATCCTGTTGCCAAAGGAAGGATAACTTAGTCTTTTTCCTATACATACATACTTTAATTGAGATAATTAGTTTAGTTTGCATCTCTTTTTGGCCACTAAATATGGTATCATGAGCACTTCTTCATGCCATCAAAGATTCTTTGAAAACAGTCTCTTTAATGACTGCATGATCCTTACTTGTTTTTAGCGTGGTTCATGTATTCATTCCCCTTTCATTGGACAGTTTGTTTCTCATATTTAGTCCCAAGTAACTGAAATTCATTTTTTGTCAGTTGTTTTATGATTTTTGCTTCTCACATAGTAAAAATAAACACTGAGGGGGTGTACATTTAAGTCCTAAAATTACCTCGGTGACCAAATAATGGACACTAAGAATGGCAATCTCTTTAACAAGATGTTCTGATAACGTTTTTGTACTTGTCTTAGGTAGCTTATTTGCCTTTTCCTAAAAAGGTCATTATGACCTAAGTGTTTAGAGCTTCAGTCAGCTGTGTTCTTTCCACGTTATTGTTTTTCATTCATGCATATGGACACTTCCAGTGCTGCTGTTTTCCCTAGCTACTACCCCAGTATACCTACCCTCAGACTTTTTTCCCTCAACTTCATGAATTTTTTGCACTTGAAAGTCTTCTTCAGGTTTCACTTCTGTTACTATATTTTAGAGCACTAGCTTCTCACAAAAACAGTGCTTTAGATTGAGATAAATAACATAGACTATTAGAGCCAGTGTATATATTTACCAATCCTAAAATCCATTATTATGTGGTGATAAGCCTTTTTTATTTAAATAAATGATCTTGAAATTTTTGGAAAATACAGATAAGTGGATAATTTTAAAATAATAATTTAGGGGCACCTGGGTGGCTTAGTCGTTAAGCGTCTGTCTTCGGCTCAGGTCGTGATCCCAGGGTCCTGGGATCGAGCCCCGCTTCAGGCTCC